ATCACTTATATGAATACACATGCAAATGAGATCACAATAAAAATTTATCTAAATACGTAAGAAATTAGGAGGAACAGATTGGATAGACCAGGATTAAACTACTAATTTTATTATGCTAGTTATAAACCCTGAGATTTTGATATTTCTGGATCTCAAACCTCAGAGAAATGTAGCATATCTACTCCAGGAGCTGGTAATGGAAGAAAAGAAATACAAGAGTCATTATTTGAATGTTTTGGGCCACAATTAAATGAGCTTGGACCTCCATCCTGTAATTTGTCTCAGTCATCCTTTTGTTTTCTTGCAGAAATCTGAGTTCTGGTCAGATCATCCTGTGTGATGTAAAGCTCTCCTGCTGTCAATGCAGCAGGCTCGAGTCTCTAATGAAAATCTCTTTTTCTACAGAAACTTAGAGAAAGTTGCCCGTATTGGCTCCTAAAATGAATGTAAGGTTAAGGTGTGTGGGGTTGAAACCAACCTATTTTCCTTTGCCATGTCTTGTTCTAGAAGAAAACCAGTGTGAGCTGCTTCAGAACAATGGTCTGCCACTTATGATTCAGGTATTGACAGAATCTCAGGACGAGGAACTCATCAAAGCTGCTACTTTTGTGCTGCAGAACTGCAAACAAAAGAGTAAGCTCTCAGATACTGCTTTCCAAATGGTTCTTTCTGTCTCTGTGTTCTGATGCTTCCCCAAATGATTTTAACTGTGGCAGCTTTGTAATTCTGTGTACTCCAAGACACGTTTGTTTTCTGCATAGAAAGTTGTTTATTTGTCATCAAGAACTGACTTGGGCAGCAAAAAGAGAAGTAAAAATTCCAACAGTGTTGCAGTAATGCATCTTTCCCAGTTCTGATTCTCCAAAATACCTGGTTTGTTTGCAAGGCCATCGTTTGGAACTCGTTTCCAGTTCAGTCTCTCTCTCAAGAACATCTTCTCTATTCCATGGCATAGCTCAGTCAGCAGACCTTATCTCTGAGTTTGCAGACAGATGTATGAGACTATGTGAGCTTTCAGTCAGGCTTTGAGAATCCTCCACAATTCCATTTCTCACAGACAGGCCACTGGTTTCCTGGAGCCTCCCCAGTCCTGTGCTAACACTCCCTGTTTTCTACAGCCACAAACAGATAGAAAGGTTTGTCTAAGGCAGGAAGGCTCAATGCCAGTGCACCGACTAATTTCTGTTTTAAATCTTCAACCTTCTGCTCGTCTTTTCCCCTCCCAATCTCACCTTCTACTAGCTTTTCATAGGAGAGCTTGAGGGCCTGAGTGTACCCTTTGATCCACAGCCTACAATAGCCCAACAAGTCTAAAAGTCTGCTAATCTCTCTCTCAGTTTTTGCTTGCAGGAGTGAGACTATCCCCTTAATTCTTTCAGGATTCAGTCTCTGGTTCCCTTGACAAATTATATGTCCTAAGTATTTTACCTCACATCCTACAAATTGAAGTTTCCCCTTTGATACCCTGAGTCCTTGGTTTCCCAGAAAATTTAATAATGCTATGGTGGATTCCTGAGCCTTCTTTTCATCCTCTCCTGAGAGATGTAAATTATCCACATACTGGAGAAGTTTTATTTCAGGTGTGGTTGAGAAAAGTTGTAGTAGTTCCCTTAGGGCTTGACTATGGATGCTAAATCTGAGCCAGAGTGCCTGTAGTTATTGCAGGCCACATAGCTCTCAGGCCTGACTGAAGCCTAGCCTGGGAAATTCATGAGAAGGAATTAAAACAATTCTCAGAGATACTAAAACAGCCTTGCAGGTGTTGTTTTGCAACCTGTTGTTTCTCCTTGCAAGAGACAGTCAAGGGGGGCAGAGTGCCCCTGACCAATGATGGTGGTGTAGTACTTTGTTAACCAATAAGAGTTTCCTTTCTGTACTTTTCCACGTATCTGTCTATAAGACAGGGCTGAAGCAATAAACTAGGAATTCTCGTGTCGTGACTCCTTTGAGAGTCCATTGTCGTTCCTTCAAGCCGTTCCCAATCGGAGCGACACTTGACCAAATAAATTTAGGGATTCAGAAAATCCTTGGGGCAGCCTTGTACACATACACCACAGATTCACCACCTGCTACAACCTCTGTAGGTTTGATTGATCTGATGTGTGTTTGCAGTTAAAAACCCCACTATTCTGCCTAGTCCTTCCCTTTAATTTGACTCACGAGCTTCCCTTTTGCATCTCCCTCATTCCCCACATCTTTACCCTCCTTGGTTACAGCAGAGCTCAAACCCATTTTATTTCTGGTTAATCTGATTAGGTAAGAACCTGGGATTGTGATGTCATTGCATTAGCAGAAGGAAGGAATACTTCCTGCAGGAAAAACAGTGGAGGCCAAAGAACCAGCCAACCTCCAAATGCTGGCTCTCCCCTGGAGAGCTTCTCCCTAGGCCAGACACTTTGATGTCATGAAGAGAAAAAGTGTCACTGCCAGAGGCCTTGGAGTTGAACATGTTAATTTGTTCCACCCCATTGGTTTCCCTCCCTATCAATCCACCCCGATCCATGTATCCCAGTTTCCCCCTCCCCTCTCCTTCCCTATAAATATCACGGTTTTTCCCCAGTTCCAGGAGCTGCTGTCACTGGCTCTGTTCACTGAGGGCCCTGCTATAATAAAGGCCATTTCTCAGTGGAATGCCATCCAGCTCTCCAGTCTCTCTCTCCGTGTTGCCTGCACGCTGCCGCTGAGCTGAGCTGACTCTGCAGGCAGAGGATGTGCCTGTGGCCCTGGGCAGTCCTTTTCAGGACGGCTTCTTCAGGGCAGTGGCGGCACCCCTGCCATCGACACCGCCACAGCAAAAGATGGCAATTTTGACCTTTGAGAAGCAAGTCATGATCTGACTGGAAGATTAAAACAGAGCAAGCCAAACTGCAGTAGTAACACCAGCTCATTCTGCGAGAGCATAGCTCAAAGAGGGAATTATGGCTCATGGGCTGCAGGTAATAAAAGCATAATGTCCTTGTGTTTGGTTATTTGCCTGGAGGGGGCTTTGGCTGAAGGGGGGGAAAGGTCAGCTTTAGCAAAAATAGCAGAGCATTAGAAATACTGACTGTGGTTCTTCTATTTACTTGGCAGAAAAGATGGCTTTCAGAGCAGAGGCATCTTGATAGACTCACTTTTCTACAAATGCATGACATTATTTGACTTTAACATACCTCTATTCATATTCTTTCATTCTGTGCTGATGAAACAATTCTTATGAATTCTTATGAAATCCTCTACTGTACAAAATTGCTGTAGTTCATTTTGTTGTTTTTTCTTAAACTCAGAAATCGACATCAGTAATGGAACAACAGACGATACTGAAACTAAATGAAACAATTAATTCCTCAACTTGTAAACTCATGATTTAAAACTGTAATGATTTTGTATGATAGTTTAGTGGATTTCTTTATATTATGGGCTGTCACTGTATTATTCAGCAATATGCCACAATGCAAAGGCTTTAATGAGCCTGTAAGGCAGGTTGCTGTGGTGCTCAAACTGATGCAATCCTTCAAGTTCTGGTTTTGAACCTTCCATTAGGCTTTAAGAAACGCTTCAGACAGAGGATATTGTAGCAGATATTGTTTGTACCCAAGACTCTCACTGAGCAGAGTTGTTAAACCAAGTAACAGCTACAAAGCTGCACTGCTAGACGAGCTCTAAGCAGTAATGACTATTTACATCTGTGTGCCTCAAGATTACCTTTATTGCACGGTTACACCCACACAGACAAAGCTCATCCCTCACCTGAGCTGAAGCAGTTGTAGTGTCACTCATCAAGTGCAGCAGGAAGCTCAGCTTTGCTAAGAAGGCTGACCTTACCTTGCTGTGCAGAAGAAATGCTGTGCATTTAGAAATGCAAAAGCAGATTGTCAAGCTGAAGTCCATTAAATACCGCAGTCAGGATCATGATTAGGCACAAGAAGCTGCTGAAATTGCAGAGAGAATTATCACTGCATTTAAGCTGCAGTTAAGTAGAATGCAATAGACATGGGAATCTTGGAGACAAACCAAAACAGAACAACACAAACAACACTTTTTATACTGGTGTCAGTGACTGTCCTTAAAGGTGCTTTTTTTTTGATACTTCAGATGATACAGAGATGGTGTTTATGTGTTGCAGTAGTCTCAAATAATCAGTGTCTTTGACCAATGCTTCTAATTCAGTGACAATCTCATCCCCAGCACTAGCAGCCTCCCAGAGGCAGAAATGGGCCAGTTTTGAGCTGCCCAGCTGGGCTGACCAAACACCAAAGCATGAGCAGCTCTGCACTCCCTGAAGCTGCTCTCAGTGCTGGCACAGCCCAAGCCACAGCCCATCCCAGTGTCACTGCCAGCGTCTCTCCACGATCAACGAGGCACCAACAAACCTGAGCTAAAACCAGTCCTGCACTTAAGCTTTCACTTCACTGACTTCAGCCACAAAGACAACAGTAACTAAACCAGGCACAGCAGCACTGCTGCCACCCAGCCAGGGCTCAGCTGCGAGGTCATTCTGCATATTCTTGGACCATTAGGGCTGATCAATTTTGAGAACTTGCAGAATGTGCTTAGTGCAGCCAGGAGGAGCTTCTGTTTTCATTGCCTTTTGCTGCTATAATCTGTTCTCTGAAATTTCCTTTAACACCTGGCTCTAGTTTCATCTTTAAATGCAGGAAGCTATTTGTGGCCAATTTAAAATAAATGGCAGTATTTGGTTATTTCCTTTTGGCTGCTGTGAGTTTTGCAAGTAGTAACGTGCTACTGTTTCCTACAGTCCATTTGTCTTTTCTTCCTAAGCACTCATCTCTCCTGTGCCAAAGAAAAGGAGAATTAAAAACAATTCATCTGTGTAAAGAGTTTGCAGGTGTTAACTTGGTGTTAGCAATACTTTATGCTATTACTGCTGAATCCACAGGTCTGCACTTTTAGCAAGATGTTTACTGAGTTCTGTGGAATGTAACTGGTATGTAGATAACCTGTTTTTCACTAGAGAAGCTTTGAGCCAGTTCTGAATTTTTCTTTCAGTTAGTTCTGTATTTCTAACAACAGCAGGGCAGTATCAGCGTGACAAAATCTCAGGAATTTGAGGGGGTTTTCTTAATTTATTTCTAAAACTTACATATTAATCTTATTCACAATTCTTTCTACTTCCTTCTATTTTTCCTTGCCTGGTTTTGTACCACCACTTTATAAATGAACAAAGCATCCATCAAGGTGTTGAAGGGAGGTAGAATCCAAAGACACAGATTTGTTTGGGGCCAGAAGAGAAACCCAAATGGGGATTATGGAGCTTCTAGACATGCAGACACCTCTGGGTGCAACCACCTGGAAGCAGCACGTTGGATAAAGAACTGTAACCCTAAATCCTGGAGGCAGAAGGGCTAAAGGCCAAATCTATGGGATGTAGCCATGGCCAGTCCCCAGCCACGATGAGGAGCACTCTGATCCAAGGGCAAACAGCACAACTTCTTCCCATCCATGGGCACCCTCTGCAGCTTCCCCTCTTCTCACTGCCATCCCAAAGCTTCTCCTTTTGGGTGAGCCATCTCCCCTGTCCTCTGAGAGAGTTAATGGCTGGAATGTCAAAGGTTCAGCTGTGAAATCATGCTTAGAAGGCAAAGCTTTCTCTTTTACCCAGTGGAGAACGATGGTCAAAGTAGAGCAGCACCCCAAAGTGACATGCTGACCTGGAATCCCAATCTCCTTGCCTTACATTTTAATTTTCGCTTGTCTACCACACGAGCAAGCTACTGAGCTCTGCAGAAGGGCAAATGGAACAAGAGGGGAAGGTTGTTACTATTTTGGGTGGCTTTTTGAATGAGTTGATGATAGCCAAGAATTGATTTCATCATGACTGGGGCAAAGTACTTGTTATGCATTCACAACTCCATTCACAACTCAGCCACCAGCTCCAGTTATCAGATTGTGAATTGTTCTAGCAGAAAGATCAAAAACTCTCAGAAATATTTTTATTTTGACACATTATTGGAGGGGAGGAATTTTTTCTTCACACTGTCACAGACTGGAAGCTTTTTCTTGAATGCCTTGGTTGCTAGTTTTAGATGTATTTCCCTTTTCCTTGCAGATAAGAGATGAGGACAGCGGCTACAACAAAAATCTGTTTTGCATTCCTAAGCATTATGAAGAGGATTTAGAAAGAGTCTTCATTCCTCACGGACTCATCCTGGACAGGTATGAGGGTAAACAGGAAAGAACAGGAACAGTGATGCCCATTTTTGTCCCTCCAAATGAAAAAAGCCTGAGGTCCTGCCCTGTGCAGCCCATGAGAAACGGGGAAACCCTGCAGCCCTAACACTTCTGTCCTAAAGTCTGGGATAAGAGGGGGTTTATGGAGAGGATTCCTCTGCAAGCCCAGTCAAGCTTCCATGTTCCATCAACTCTCTTGAAGCCCACCTATCCTGCAATATTTGTGTTTATGGGTTAAATCTGCTTATGCTGTGCAAATACCTAATTTATTTTCCTACGACTTGCTGTGCTCACAATTTGCTAGTTAGAAAAACCTAACAGCAAGATCAGAATTTTTACTTGAACATTGCTTAATATATACACAAACAGCTCTGATATACAGAACACTTTCTAGAATTGCCTTTTTTTTCCTTCTTTCTCCCAGGACAGAGCGTTTGGCTAGAGATATCATGCAAGACATGGGAAGTCATCACATTGTTGCACTCTGTGTCCTTAAAGGAGGCTATAAATTCTTTGCTGATTTGCTGGACCATATAAAAGCACTGAATCAAAATGGTGATAAATCTGTGCCCGTTACCGTGGATTTTGTCAGAATAAAAAGCTACTGTGTGAGTGACTTTCTTTTCTTTGGAAAATTGACTCTCTCCATAGACTGGCATTCTAAATACTGGTGGTTTGTGTGAGAACCCCCCAAAAATGGAGTTTATGTGTACATTCTCTTCAAATTACATACTAAAAAGGAACTGATTTACTGATCTGCCCCAAAGGGTGGATATTATATATTCACTGGGATAAACATAGCAGAACACTCAAGATGACAAAGCCAGGGGCAGATCTCCAACTCCTTCCTCTTGCAAGAAGCAAGAGCAGCTCACCTTTCAAACAAATCCAGGACAACACTTTGGGGGGCATGCTTTATGTGACTTCCATCTCTTCTTTCTCCTTCTAGAATGAGTCACCTGCAGAAAAAATCAGTTTTATTGGTGAGGAGCTGTCTACACTAAGTGGGAAGGTATGAATTGGCATCTTCAGCTTTTAAAGGAAAACAACTCTTCTTGTGTGTTTTCCAGGAAATCCATCTTTATTGAAGATTTTGATACTGCATACTTCCAGCCTCTTAACACTGATTTAAAATGCTGGGCTTTGAAGCAGTGAATAATTCCCACTGATCTCAGTGGAAACTTGGAGTGATCAGCAATGAGTGCTCCCAAAGGTCCTATTCCCCATTTTATCCCAGAACCCCCAGAAATGAACCACACTCACCTGACTCATTCAGTGCCTCTGGAACACTGGTGCTGTACACAGAGCAATATACAGACCTGACACAGGTGCCTTTAGCACCATATTTAAGCTTTCAGAAATACTTACAAAAAGACTCTTCAGTAAGCACCAAAGTCAAGTCAGTAGTTCAAGTGACAATCTCCTTTGAAAATCAAGGCAAATTCCTTGTAACTGAGGGTTTTAGTGTGCTTTTCTTGGCTGTTTGGTTTGCTGAAAATTGCCATTTAAGTATTTTTTTTTTCTTTCCCTTCCTTCCCTATGTAATCTCTTCCAGAATGTGTTAGTAGTTGAGGTAAGTAATGACTGAAGGAGGGGTGGAATGACACAGATTCTTTTCTCCCTTCTTTTCAAATGAATACATATTAGATATAAAATAATAATTAGTGAAGTTAGTGGGCTGCCAGGTTGGTATACTCTAATTTAATCCACTGACAGTCTGATTTTCCTTTCAAACTTGAAGGATAATTCATTTTTTTTATCACTTTCAGGACATTATTGAGACTGGTAGAACAATGAAAGCACTGCTTTCAAAACTAAAAGACAAGAAACCAAGGATGGTAAAAGTTGTAAGGTACAAGGATATAGCTGCTAACTAACATATTCAAATCATTTGGGTGAATAGTCATTGTATGCTGCCAAGTGCTTGTTTGGCTTGAAGTTTGGGGGGGAGAAAGCAAATGCAGGAAGCAATCCTTACCCAGCTGCTGGAAAATTAAGTGTTTCTTAAACTGGGAAATTTCCCTGTGCACTACCATCTTCACTGCTCAAATTAATAAAGGAAGGTTTGATGGCTCTTTCTATGGTGTCCATAAAGTCTGATGGATTCCCTGTTTCTTACTTTATGGCTGAAGGAAATTGATGTCTTTCCATAAGTTTTCTAACGTCGCCTCAGTTGCCTCAATGCTGGAATGACAACACTCAGAATATCCCTTACTATCCTCAACTCTAGAAGTTTCCAGAATCTAAGAGTCTGTCAGCACTTGGAAGATGACTTCAAGCAGCATTCTAGATCTGCTTGTAGTAGGTCTCTAAAAGGAAATTTTGTGGAATATCCCTGTGTCTGTCAAGTAATCACAATGCTTTATAAAAACAGTTGCTTTATGCACCAGTTATTCAGACAGGCCTTCTAGGGACTGTCCAGGAGGTTCTCAGTTTCTTCTGAAGGGCACAGGCAAACCAAGACTAGATAAGATTTTGCAGAAGAAATGTCCTTTTCTCCCTCCCTCCCCACTAAAATCATTCCCAGCCACTTGGACATGCTTCCCCCTCTGTGCTGTTCCAGTGTCCTGAGGCATTGCTCCATGGAAGGGCAATGACCTGAGACCCAGGATTGGAGGGAACTGAATACAAACTAGAGCCACTTGGACATAAAGAATGAACCTAGATCAGAGCCTTTGCTTCTCCCTCCACGACAAGGCTGAACACTACTGCTTTCTGTGAAATAATCTCACTGCCTTAATTTAATGGCATGATTTTAGAAGCTTATGGGGAGGCGTGGCAGAAGGGAAGTCTACAGCTTAGACATATTTTAAAAACCAACCTTCTCTGCTCTGCCTTACAGCCTGCTCGTCAAAAGGACATGTCAGAGTCCAGGTTACAGACCAGACTGTAAGTACCATGTTTTTCTAGTATTTTCCAAAACACAGTCTTACCATTTCCCTTCAGGCAGCACATCTGACAACTGCACAGAAGTTTCATGAAGGCCAAGAGAAATGGGGAGAAACTACATAAAAACTTGTGAACTGATGTCCAGCTATGGCATCCTGAGGCCTCATGACCACCCTCTGTTTTTCCCCTGGCTGGCCTCAGTGCAGGTTTAGCTATTTGATACACAATTTAACTATTTAGATAGCAGAAATGAATCAAACCTTAACTGTGTGTTGCTTTGCTTTGGCCCTGGAGGACATTTGTTTTGACTCTGCATTATTAAACTTGCCTTGTTTCCAAACTGAAAAGTCCTACTGAATCACGGTTCATCTACTTTCACTCAAGTAAAATCTCATTCCTTGTCTCTTCTCCCAGGACTAACTCATAACCAGGTGTTAAACAATTATTTTGTTAATAAACAGAATTCTCTTAACAACCTTAATTATATTACTGACTGATGGGAATGGTTTAGATTCTAACCTCTGTCATCAATTTATAGCTCAGATTCTTAAGGAAGCACCCTGAAAGAGATGATGTCTTTTACTCTTAGCTCAAGTGTGTGTTGAATACAAACTCTGCATTTAAAAGCTGCTTACACCACTGAAGGATAAAAAGAACTGTATTTTCTTACAGATACAGGCTTTGAAATCTCAGATCAATTTGTGGTTGGATATGCTCTTGACTACAATGAATACTTCAGAGATCTAAATGTAAGTACATGCACATTCCTCCACTGCCAAGTATCAGGTACCCAGCAAGAAGATTTGCTTCTACTCAGAGCTTCTCAACAATTACAAAACCTTCAACTCCAGCTAGAAACTTCCAATAAAGGAGCAAAACCATTTTTAAGGTGCCGAGTTGGTAATGCAGTGAAGGTGCATGAGAAATGTTTGTGCTTCACCTTTTTATAATTCTACTCCACAAGTCTCACGGCTCAGCCGTGCTGCAGAACATTCTGGGCCCCCAGGATGGTGAGCAGCACACAATCTGTGACCCCATCTGAAAATAACTTGTCATTTGACTTTGATTGGATATTTGTCTGACTTAGTTCAACCCTATGTTGCTCTTCAGTCACCAGGTCTTTAAAGCAGCCCTGCAGGGACTCTGTGTGAAGGTCTTCCATACACTTAGGGATAACATGTCTTACATCTTACATGTCTGTAAGAACTCTTCCCTTATTCCATTACAGCTTCTTCAGGCTGCACAGAGTAGTGGCCTTGGAAACATCATAAACTGATAGGGTTGATCATTTTTCCCTCCTTTGTTTTCCAAAGTACTTCCTTAATTCTGTTTAACTGGGAAAGTTTTTTACTTCAAAGCCTTTTTCCTAAGACAAACCAGTCCTGCTGAAGACACAAACAGTCTGTGCCATTGCTCAGCAGCATTAAGGAGCATGCAGTAATTTAAGAAACCTAAGTTCTTTCAAATATATCAACCTATATATTGCAAATAAACTTGCAAAGAATACTAAGAGCTGGAGTTTACTGCAAGTAGGAAACTTCCAACTATTAGGGTTGTAGTGTGTTTTGAGTGCAGTGCTGGGAATACAGCTGCAAATCAGTCTTACACTTCATTGGAAGATAGAGATGGATAAATATTGTACTTTTTATTTTTTCTTGTAGCACATCTGTATTTTGAAAGAGAAGGCCAAAGAGAAATACAGGATGTGATAATCTCAGTCTTCTGGAGCACTGATTTCTGGCTGCTGCTGAGGTGATCTAAAGCATGCCATCAGGAAATGACTTTTGCTACTTGCGTGTCCCTGAGCAGCAGGAGAAGCTCCCCGTTAGTGCCAGGAGCTGCAGCTCGCTCATTGCCACGTGTAGGCAGCGCTGAACACGAGCTCTGCAGACGCTGGGATTTTTCCTGCTGGAAGCAGCAGCAGCAGCAGCAGCAGCAGGAGCTGGGTGCGGGGCTCTGGCGATAGCGAGAAACGTGCCCGGCACGTTCCGGGCCCCGCAGCGGATTCCTTCGGCTCGTGGCGGGGCCCGAGGGAGCTCCGAGGGCGGAACAGGCCTCGAGCGGAGGCCGAGATGGAAGCCAGGGGCACGGGCAGGGCTCGGGGTTGCCGGGGAACCGCGGCCGCAGCGGCCGCGGCGCTGCTGCTCCAGGCTCAGTTGCGTGGAGACCGCGATCCTCGGTGGGTGTGCGCAGCCTGGGCACGGGCACACGGCTCCCCTGGGCCACTCGCCAGGGGAATTGTTCACAGGGAATGGGGCTGTGCGGGGCACTTCGTGCTGCATTGCTCTCACAGGGAGTCCCGAGTTCGCGGGGCTTTGCTTTCTGCCAGGGACTCCCGAATTCGCGGGGCTTTGGTCTCTGGGAGGGAGTGCCGAATTTTGTTTGAAGTCAGAGATGGACTAAAGTTGTACTTTTTGGTTTTGTCACATCTGTGCCCCGAATTGTGTTGTGGATGTTCGGATCTGGTGTGTTACTTTGCATCCCCTGCACTCATCTGGTGCAAGGCCTCAGGCAGGGCTCTGGGGGCGCGCTGGAGGCCTTGGATGGGTTGTGACACCCCCTCAGCTGCTCCTCATGGCAATGTCCCCTGCATGTGGCCTTCTTGTGGGGGGAGGTTTTAGAGCTGAGCCGCTTTGTGGGAGGGAGGATGGGTGTGCACTGCCTCTTACCAGAGCCTATGCCACACGGCCAAAATTTCCTCCTTGCCCCTCTGTTGAGGGGAGGTTTGTGTGCAAACCTGGCCTCAGCAGATGAGTCTGTGCCTGCGACTTCCCCAGCCTGAAGCCACACAGAGCTGATTCTCAGGACAGCTGCTGCCTTTGGCTTTGGTGTGGATACATTTTTCTCCCTCAGTGTTGTTGACTTCTCCCCAGACCTGAGATCATAGGACAATAGTGTCACCTCTAGTTTGTCTCAAGTTCCTGAGAGGTGGCTTAACTCACAGTCCAAAGTTCCAGTCAGCAGGCATTTCCAGGGAAGGCTGGGCTTTGGTGGTCACAGCTTCTTTATACAAATTTGTCACAACGGGCAAAAAATGCTTTATAACAAGATTTAAGCCATTAGCCATAACATTCCAGTCTCTCACACGTCCTGTGAGGAGCAGCTGAGAGAGCAAGGGGTGTTTAGCCTAAAGAAGAGGAGGTCCATTCTAGCTATTTTAAAATAATATTAATATTTAAATTAATAATAATAATAATAATAATAATAATAGTAGTAGTAGTAGTAGTAGTAGTAGTATAATACTGAATCTAATAATATTAAAGCTACAGCTTTTACAGTCTGCTCTAACTATTATTAATGTTATTCAGATTTTTAGCTCCAGGTTTCAGTGTGATTCATTTTGGAATTGCACAACATAGCCATATAGTTCAACTAGAGGCCTAACAGTCCTAGCTACTCACACCAAACAAGCACTTGGCTACTTTTAAGTAATATAAATTTTTTAGCATCAGTGTATCTCTTGAGTCTGCCGTGAATTGGATTCTGGATTTTCACAGTTCCATTCTTGCTCCTTGCAGTTTTCTTGAGGCATTGTTGATCTTCTGCGACTTCCTGCTTTCAAAATGCCTTCTGGATTCCCAGAAAAGACAACGACACCTCCTCGGCTTTTGCTCAGGGAAAGACTGAAGTCTTTTAGTGTAAGTAGCCTCTGGGGCTGTGTTAAGGCTGGAAATGCCCCTGGTGTCCCTCCTCTCCGTGCCCCTCCTGTGTCCAGCAGCACTGTGAGGCTGCAGAGCCCTCCCCAGCTCTCTGTGCCGTGCTCCTGTTGCTGGGGGCTGTCCTGGTGCACTTGGGAACAGCGTGTGTTGCTCCAGGGACACTCCAGTGTCTTCCCTGGCTGTGCCAGCGGGGCCAAGTGAAACCAATGTCCAGCTGGAGCCCTGAGCATGCGCTTCTCTCCCTGCCCTTGTCACAGCAATTCCTTCTGCCAGGCTGGGCACTCACTGTGCTGCTCTCACAAAGCTGCCCTTGAGCACCTGGGCAGCTCCAACTCTGCCCAAAGCCTTGAGAGACACGGCTGGTCCCAGCAGCAGAGGTTCCAGAGCAGCTGTTCTCTCTCATCTCCTGCGTGGGGCACAGATCCAGCCCTGCAGACAGCACTGGAGTCAGGGCCACAAAGGTCCCTTGGCTGTCTGGAGCTCGCTTGACTGAAGATGCCCTGCTGCTGAGGCTCTGTCCAGGAGATCCCTGTGTTTTCTTCTGTGGAGGGCTGTGGGAGCCCAGACAGAGCAAGCAAATGCTAATTAACAGAGAGAACTAAAACCTGGGCACTTTCCTGTGCCCCTCACTCTTGGTACCACTTTGCTTTCTTGCATCTCCTGGACTCACCCAGCAGCGCTATCTCCTCGCTGTGAGCTTTGAGTGTCGTGCAGGGATGGAGTTAGGGAGTTCTGACAGCTCCTCCCCACTCTCTGAAAAGATCACTGCCTCAATCCAGTGAACCTAAAGAGGAAAGAAATGCCCAAAGAGCAGAAATCCCCAAACATGTCCCATCAAATCATGGAGAAGCTGAGGGACACAGCCATGTGTTTGGAGTATGTCTATTCTGCTCTGTTATTAATTTACTGATGCTAAGTATCTCAACAAGTAACTTAGGGAGCTTCCAGGACTGTCCTAGATGATGTGATCACCAATTAGTCACCAGTGCCACTTGTTCAAGAAAAGCCTTTCTGAACAAGCACATCTCTGATGCTTTTGCTGGGTTTTTTTTTGCCTTTCAGCTGCTTCCCTCTAGATTCTCGAGAGAGAAGTTCAACAAGAATGAGGCCAGTGCTGGGGAGAGTAGTCTGCCCAGAATTGGCCCATTTCTACACACGAGTGAGACTGGTCAGAAGGTAGCCTTTTCCTGCTCTTTTCCTTTCTGTCTGATGCAAGGTTTGAGGAGGGTGTGTGCTTGTGACAGGCTCGCCTCCAGCAAAATCCCTCAGTGTCCAGGTGCTGTTGTCATTGCAAACTGCTGGTAGTGGTGGACTTGGAGTCCTGGTCTGCACCAAGCCAACACAAATAACTTCTGCTGAAACTGCTGGGGTTTGCTGGAGTGGAGCTGCCATTGCTAAAACAGTGGGGGGAAGGGTGGGGACACAAAGGCACAAATTTGCCATTTGCCATTCTCCTGCTGAAATAGCCACCTCTTGCTTTGCTGTGGTCACCATCAAATGCTTGGGGTCATAGGATTCCATCCACAGTGGCAGTGCTGGCCTCTGAAGGCCAAGGAGCTGCAGGAATGACTGCAGATTTAACAAAACTAACTGCATGAATGCTTTGGGTTGGAACAATGTGTTGGGAGCCTGAGAGATTCTGCAGGCTGCCAGGTGTACAGGGGACTCGCCCTGGGCAGGGGGAATGGATGTGCTTTCTCTGGATCAGTGCCTACTTAGAGGTGTGTTTAAAGCTGCTTTTCCTGCAGGACTGGCTGGGTACATTGCACAGTCCAGATGTGGTAGGTGGCCGAGGTGGGTGCTGAGCAGGAAATTGGCAGCAAGAGACAGTAACAAAGTGGTGAAGGATTGCCCTGGAGAGGGAGGTCAGGGACAGCTCAGAGAAGGGCACAACCAAGGGCCAGTGTGCTGCAGCCACTCCCTTCAGCAGTGCAGTCCCACAGGAGAGCTGCTGGTGTGTCTGGAGTGGCAGCAGTGTGGCTGGAGAAGGCAGACAACAGGGGAGAGTTTTCTCAAAGCAATGTCTCTGCTCCAGAAGCATTTGCTGCTGTTGTGTCATTTCAGACATGCCTCTAGAATGGTATCAAATAAGACAGCAATAATAGAGATATACAAGAAAGCACCCATTTAAAGCTCATGGGAAAAGGAGATACTAACTCTACTCTTACCCAAGTTACTGAGAAAAGAACTGACCCTTATCCTCATTTAGCATTCACCTCATTTGTCTTTTTCCTAATTTCTGTGTTATTTTATTTTTGCCTTTACCTCTGTTAGAAACACACTAACTTTTAAATACAATTAAAGGGGACAAAGTTGTGGAAGCAAAAGAAAACTGTTCATTAGTGACAATTCAGCTGAGCTGGGTGTGTGTCTCCCTCCCTGAGAGCTGAGCACACACACCCCCTTCACCAAAATGGCTTTTTTTATACCCTTTATACCCTTTTATATGGCTTTTTTTATACCCTTTATACCCTTTTATATAGCTTCTTTTATACCCTTTATACCCTTTTATATGGCTTCTTTTATACCCTGCCCTGTGTGGCCCAGCAGCTCTTGAGCAGCTCAGAGCAGAGGTGGCTGAGCTACTGTTTCCCCAGTGTGGCCTGGGCAGACGTGCTCTCCCAGAGTCTGTACTTCACTGGGGATCAGAGGAAGAGTCTCCCTCATGAACATTCCTCCCAGCAGCTGAACCTCTCCCTGCTCTCTCTTGTCTCTCCAGTTGTTGCCAGTTCTCCCGAAACAGAGCTCGTTTCGTGTTTCCCCACCAGAGGTGGTGTTTCAGAACTTCGTGGCTCATGAAGTCTCTGAAATGGAACTGTCTCTCACAAATGAGAGCAAGGTGAGTGCTGGGGCCTGGAGCTTTAACACTGTGCTGGAAGAGGAGAGGGGTGTCATTCCCATGGTGTGCAGCAAAGCAAGTTCCCTGCTGCAGCACATCCAGAAGAAAATGTCTCAGCACCTTTGTTCTGCAGGATGCTGGAAATCTTGCTGTGCTGGGAATTCTCCCCTGAGTTTGCTATGCATTGATGGTATCTATCCCAAAGGATTTGCTTTCTCTTGAAAGCTCTGGATTGATAGGAATGTTGAGGGCTGTACAGTTCCAACCTGCTTTCATGCTTTGCCTTGGGTCTATACCACATGCTGTGTCTCCCTGGTTAATCTTGGTAGGAATCCTGGTAGGAATCTCTGCCTCTCTCAGCCTGTTTGGCTCCCTTTGAGCAGCTCACAGTCAAAGCTCATGGGCTGAGACTTCTCCACTTTATGCTGGAATCACTTAGCACTGATGGCATTGGTACTGCAGGAAATGTGTTCTGAAACAGCCCTGGAGTCAGAGCAGTGAGAGGCCTTTAGGTGCCACTTCAGGCTCCTGCTAAGCTTCATCCAGCTCTGCTCAGGTTTTCCAAAAGCAACGTGGTGCTCTGCTTTCCCTTTGGAGAACCACAGCACATCCAAAGTCATGTGCTCCTGGAGGATTTCACCTTCACTTGAGGCAATTGTGATTATTTTTCAGTTTCCCAAGAGAGCTGAGAGGGGAAAAAGTTGAAAAATGTCAGCAGTTGTGTTCCACTGTAAAGAGGAAAATCGAAACCATTTGAATTTCAGTCAGGGAAACATTTTCTCAAATGAGGCTTGTGCCGAGAGTGGACTGGTGGGAAGAGCCAGGAGGGAGTCAAAATCATCTGGTTTAGACTTTTTGAGAGCATTTGGGTGCTCAGGGGTTGATATCTATGTGCTAGAAAATGCACATTTGCTGTGTCTGTGTATCCCAGAGGGCAGAACCTGGCCTGCTGGCTGCAGGCAGGAATGCCCAGCAGCCCAGCTCACCTGCACAGGCAGCAAGAGCCCCTGGGGAGCCAAGATTGCTTTAATGCTGCAATGTGAGTCAACACTGGTCATGTTTGTCCAGGCAGAAAATGCCTTTGAAGCCCACAGTCAATAGGCACAGCCTGTCTGTATTTCCATCACTTTTGGCAAAGTGATTGCTGTCCTGGTTTTATGATTCTTCCTTGCTGCTGTAGTTGCTCATTTAAATTCTCTTTTGCCATCTCCATGATTTAGGGATTTTCTTGCTGTGTTCCTTCTTTGCCTTTTCAGGTTTGCTTTTATTCCCAGGGAGGCCACAGTGTTTGGTCTCCTCTCTTGCTGGTCTGCCTGCCTGACTGTATCCCCAGACCTGCCCTAGGCAAACCTGATCTGCTAGAAGGGAATTTCTTCCTTCCCCCAGGATAATGTGCTGCTTTGCTTTCAGGTAGCACATCCCCTGTCTGGAACACCACTGCATGGCTGTGTGCAGGCAGCAGCCAGCAGGTTTTTTGGCCTTGTTGAATGTGCAGATGACTTGGTGCAGGTGCTCTGTCTCCATCCTGCTGGTGCTGACCTGCTGGGCCCTTCCTTCCCACGGGGCACTGCCCTAGTGCCCCTGGCCAAAATGAGCCAGACAGAAGGGATTCAAGTTGTCCCTTGTGAATGATGTGCCTGTACCTGCACAGCTGAAAGTGCTTTGGGAAAGGGATCAAGGAAGGATGTCAGCAGGGCACGGACAGGTCTCCTGTCAGCCTGTTTGCACAAGTGGCACAATCATTGTTTCATGTCTTCCCTGCAGTGTGTTCAGCTGGTGCAGGTCTCCATGCAGAGCTCGCCTTATTTCAGGCTGGTGTGCCCCAACGACGCGTACCGTGCTGTGCCACGAGGTGCGACTGCCCGTGTGCGCATTCAGTTCACCCCCAGCGAGAGCAAGGTGAGACTGAGCCAAAACACACCATTATCTCCAGAGCCATTGTTCTCCCTGCACTCTGGGACAGCCCATTCCATGCTGTGAGCTTGGCTCCAGGCTGGGGGCAGGCAGCCTGCAGCCAGGCTCACCTTGGCACGTGCTGTCAGGGGCTGCAGCCAGGCCTGACAGGCCCTGCTTCCCCTCCCTGCACATTCCTGAGCATTCCCAAGGGAAGATGCACAGGGAACAGGATGAAAATGACAGAGGGCTGTTGAGAGATGTTCAGCCATCTCTAGGTACGGTGGAAGGGGTTTCATTCTTATGGAAAACACTGGAGGAATGAAGAGCTCAGAGAGCTTTCCTCCTTCCTGACTGGCAACAGCTTCCCTGCCTCAGCCTGGGCTGGAGCAAAGTGGTGATTTCTGCCCCCTCTGTTCTCCAGCCTTGCAGCTGTGCTGTGCCACAGCACAAGTGACCAAGGTACAGCTGCAAGGCCAGGGCAGAGGATGTGCTGTGCCTGTGAGCCCAGCCTGGCACAGGCACTCTGAGCTCTAGGTGCCCTTAGCAGGAGGTTGGTGAGCTGCAGGGGACTTGGACACCTGCTGAAAGAGCTGCTGTAGGGCAGGTACAACCTGCAGGCAGAGCTGTGAGCCCAGAGCCTGTGGCAGTGACACTGCTGTGGCTCTGTCTTCATGCCTGTCACTGGGGCTGCTCTGTCAACTGGCCCCCATTCCGTGCCAAACGTGCTTTGCTGGGGAGATTTGAGCAGCAGTGCCGAGGCCCTGGAGCTCTGATCTCAGTGCTGGGATCTGGAGGTTTGTTCATACAGAAGGGTTTAGGACATGGCAGGGAAGGGAGGAAGGGAAACAAACAACATCCAACAGCATCCTGCTACCTCTTAGCACTGTTCTTCTGACTTGCTTGGAGAGGCAAAGTTAGAGGGGAGTTGTGAGCCAACTCATGTTTCTACACTAGACCAGAGGTGCAGGACCTTTTTGGGTGCAGCTGTTTTCTCACCTTCCTTTCCTTTTGCTGCTTAGAGTCAGTTTAACATTTGGTCTTATTCTCAAACAGCAGGAATACAGGAACCTAAAGAGGAATGGCCTGTGTTCCCTAGCTCCATGTTCCTTAGAAGGGACTTGGAAATTATTTAACATCATTTAACTTTAGGGTAAAAGTTGTGGCCTAGGGCAGTTCTCTGTATGACCCTAATGACATGAGAGCTTAATGCCACTGAGATAGGTTTTGCAAAGTGCACTGGTGCCTTTAGTAATAATAA